AAATCCAAGTATGAGCATTTTGTATAATCGTATTTTTTTTTTATTGTAAAATATAATATTATTTATATAACATGTTTTTTTTCTTTCTTTTTTTTTTTTGTATCATAGTACTCATGACGAAACATATAGCATTATAGATACTTGTAAAAGAAGTTTAATCGCTTTAGAACCAATTTCTGAAGATTCGCCATTTGCTGGTCGCAATGCGATGCATTTGACTCTTTTGGAAAATTATTCAGGGCATCAAATCGAATATATTTTAACATGCGAAAGCGATACAGAAAGACAAAGATGGTTGGAAGCAGTTTTTCCTTCAAAACGAGGATTAACGGGAGAAACACTTTACGAAGTGTGGGATTGTCCTCAAGTAGTAGCTTTATATTGCTATTCTTCAAATCAACCAGACGAATTATCATTACATCCAGGTATATAATGTTTTTTATGAAAAACTTTTGTATGTGTGTGTGTGTATTTGCATTTTAATTAACGCAAAAAATTGTTTTTAGGGGATGTTATAAATGTATTTAAAAAAATGTCAGATGGATGGTATCATGGTGAAAAATTATTAAATGGTGAACAGGGCTGGTTTCCTGGAAACTATACGAAAGAAGTTGCATCAGAACATGTTCGCGCAAAAAATCTCAGACAGAGACATCGATTTCTTACATTAAATGGAAATATATTGCAACAAAGAACAAAACAACAATCAATCATTCATTAAATGAATGATTTAACTATCAATAACTAATTTATATGATTTTTAATAAATCAACATATTATGATATTCTACATTAATATAATTGTTTTCATTTCATTTCTCATCAAAATAATATAATATTGTAGCATGTACAATTGCAAGTGTAAGGATTAGATAATTAGAACTGTAAACATTAATAACAAAACTATTTCTTTTTTATTATTTTTTAATATAAATACTATAAATGTTTCTTAATATATAATCTCATTGATTCATAAATATAATTTATACTTTTTCACTAAAACTTCAGAATATAAAACAAACATATATAATTATAATATAAGATGGAATATGTAAATATGATATAATACAGTCTTGAAAGGCAGACTTTTTAGTTTTTTCTAAGAAGAAAAAGGAATATTGCTACTTAATATTAAAAATACCAATATTAACTTAAATAAATCTCTTGGACAAAGAGATGTTATATTTTTAAATGAAAAATTAGATAAATTTTTTATTCGCTATGATAAAAAAAATGTATCTTCATTGAGCATGTTCATTTTTATGTAATACATATATGTCAATTATATTTATATACCTGCTCTAGAATATCTAGATGGTTTCACTTCAAATAATTTTCGTACAAAATATACTTGTACTGTTGTGGTTACCAATATGACAATTATTTGTGCAATTGACCATGTTTGAACATAAGAATTGTTATCTAATAACAAATTTAAGTCTCTAGCTTCTTTACTTCTGCTCAAATGTTGAGTTTGCAGCATTTCATTAATATTTCTCTCCACATTTGTTATTGCAGACTACAAAATTAAAATTATGATATGACAAAATTTGATTTTGATATTGATATTTTCTAACAAAATAACAAAATATTTACCGTAAAGTTTTCCACAGAAAGATTTAATTCTTCCAATTCTCTTGTATATTTGTCCCATTCATCATATCTTTATTAAAAAAAAAAATTAAATCTTTATTAAAAGTTACATTAAATTATTATATTTTCTAAAATATATATATGTAATTATTACCTAATCACTGTGATATATAAATTAACTAATTTTGAAGCAAATCTGGAAAATTGATTATCTATACAAATACTGTAATAACCAGCATTTTTCACAGTATCTTGATAATCTGAATTAGGAAGCCATTGGTAAGGATGAACTATTATTCCATCTGGATTTCTTACTGCAAAACCGGCTTTTCCATCTCCACCACGTACTACCTGTATTTATAAATATTTTAAAAAAATTTTTTTTTTGAAAATTTTTTGAAAACATTTGAAAATTTGTATAAATAGAACTATATGGTTAAATAATCAAATTAATTGATTATATATATTTATATATTATATATATATTATTATATATATATTTTACAAAAAATACTTTTCAATATTTATATTATGTATGCTGATTTTTTTAAATAAATAAAAAAAAGAATTTTCAAATGAAATAAATATGTCAATTACGATTATATACCTGAAAATTTACATAGAAAGTAGCTCCAGCATTAACATATTGAAAGTAACAATCTTCTTTTCCGGCATCAATATGAACTTTGTAATCTAAGGCCACCGCGGGTAAAGTTTCATACCATGGGTGAGACATGCTGGTGTTCGCGAGGCTAAGGAATACTCCGAAAACCAGACTTCGTAAAAAATTGGACATTGTTCACGTTTAATCAAGCAGATCATCACAACAATCCGCCTAGCCAACAATCGCTTTCACGACGATGACTGACAAATGTCTTTCAATGTGTTTCTCGTATCGTCACTATAATCTTCAGTGTTTCTCAACTGTTTATATTCGATCTTTCATTATATATTCAAATCATTGAAATTCGTTGTAAATTTTATTATTGTTTCTTTTCAAAAATCAAAAAAAGAAACTTAAATGTACAAAAATGATATATAATAATCATTGGAAAATAATATCTTTAATTTGTTAATTTTAATTAATATTAATATTATTATAATATTATCATATTTAGGTTACTATAATAAAATTATACATGAAATTATTCGTACAATATGTTATAACATTTATATGAATATAAAATCTATTACACACATATTTTTTTATGAAAAAATATAAATTAAAATATAAATTTATTAATATATAAAAAAACATAGAAAAACATGAAGCTATATTTAATAAGCTATAATAAAGCTATATTATTATAGTTATAAAAGCTATCAAATTTAAAAAAATTGTATAACATTTAAAATAATAATTATATTTTATATATTCTATCATCAATTTCTAAGAATAACATTAAAAACATTAAATATTATGAAAAAAAAATGTATTAGTATCAGATTTATAAATAATTTAAATTTCCATTTTCAATATTAAATAAAAATATATGTGAATTATGAATAAAGTAAATTTTATCAAAATTTGAATATTATAAATAAATATTTAAACCAGATTGATTTAACATTTTATACACTAAAATATAAATATACACTATATATATATAAAATATAAACTATAATCTTCATACATACTTATTTATTTCTAACATACATATAACTATTATCACATAATTTGCTAAACAATGTAACCATTCATATCTTATTTCATTTTCATGAAAATTTATAAACTTAGAAAATCACAAAAAAAAAGATTTATTTCAATATAAAAATATTAAGTAATTCATTAATCATTATTACTGAATAGTTTTTTAGAATTTATTAAAATTATTTAACTTATTAAAATTATTTAATTATATATTTAATTAATGCGATAAAAATATAAAAATTAATTTACATTTTTTATTATGTAGACAAAATCCAGGGATTTTTTTTTTAAATGGCTATCCTTATAAATACGTTCGATATATTTTTCAAATAATCACATAAAGTATATAACTTCAGTTTATACGATGTTCAGAACGGTTTGAAAGGCGGATTTTCTTGTTCTAAAATGAAATTTGTGATATAATTCTTAGTTGAGAAATTATGGTTTTCTAAATAAATGAATATAATTGATAAATACGCAAAGAAATATTTATGATAATACGTGGTGTATATTTGAGAATGGAAAGTGTTATAAAAATATTAAAGTACAGTAAGAAGAAAATATTATCGTTCTCCGTGTGGTGCATAGCATAGGAATGGTATCGCCATCCAAAATTCAACATCAAGAGCAAAAACAACCATCAAGAGAAAATAAGTCAATTAAACATTCACGTATGTCTAATACTTATGCATATATATATTTGTATCGAAGTGATTAATGATCGAAATAATTTTATAAATTTATTAATTTATTAATAATTGATAGAATAATAATTTGTTTAAAATTATTTCTATTGCTTGAATATATTTCAATATAATTACTCCATAACATTTGATTAAATTTATAAATAATATCTAGGATATAATATTTGCCTATCATTAAAATATTTATTTTATATGATGTAATATTAAAATTTTCATCTAATTTTTATTGATATAATATCTTATAATATTTTTATAAATCATCATGAACTCATGAATTCAATTCTTTAAAATTCTATATTTTAATAACAGTTTAATATAATAAAATTAATAAAAATCTTGTGGCATTTCTATGATATTTCAGACATTCATGCACAGAAGGAATTGAAATCATTGGAAGGGAAATCATTTTATTTGGATATTAAGAATCATGCTACTACAGCTAAAATAGAAGCAAAGATTAAAGATTTAGGAGGAGTAAGTGTTTAGTCATATGTATGTATATATGGCATTTGTAATATCTTTATATTTTATTTATATTATTTCATGTTATTGATTCACTTTATATTATATTATATTATAATTTATTTGTATAGTATATTCGTACATCTCTCATTTCATATATATTTCGTCTGTATTCTTATATTCATTTGCTTTCTTATTTATAATTATGGAAATTTATCTTTTATCTCACTTTTTATTGTTTTTTATTGTATTTTTATAACCTATTAATCTTAACTTCATCAATGTAATTGAATGTTTTAAATGGTTTTAAATGTATAACTTGTTATTTTTAAAAAAATATTTTTTGGTAGAAATTATTAATTAACTTAAAACTTGAGTTAGTTAATTTAATTGATTGATTAAAATTAATTAAATTGAAAAAAAATATTAAGTATAATGGAATAAAATTAAAAAAATATTCTAAAATATTTATATTATAAATTACGTATCAAACATTTTGCTTTTTCTTGTATATTTTAATGTTCAAAATAATGATTCATCAATATATATATATATATATATAATATATTAAAAAGCAAAATATAATTTTCAAAAATTCAATGTAGTGCACAAACTCGTAAAATGTTTCTGTTGACAAACAACCGCTAAAAAACCGGGTCGTACCACGCCATCTTTAGGAAAATCTGAGAAATACGATGAAGTGGGGCAGATTCGTCGCTTTCAACTGTTGTGTTGTGGTTTGAAAGAAACAAAAAATATGGACGCGAAAATACAGCGAAAAACAATTTTCACATATTCAGAAAAGCTACCGTATTCATTTTGTTACAATATTCGTCGACGGACAACGAGCAAGAACGCAAAGCGCCGCCTCCAGGCTCGCCTGCCAAGCTGTTAACGGCGAATGGCCATTTTGTGCGTGACAGTTCTCCCCCGCGAGTAACGATCTCGTCGCGCGTCCCAGCGCTCTTTTCCTTTGCCTCCTTTCTTTCATTTGATCGCTTGAGATATATCTCGACAAATTTCTTCCTTAAAATCTTTTATCGTAAATTACGTTTTATATACTTTTTAATACCTGATATATTTACGAATTTGTAAACCGATAAACAGTGTGATTCGAAGAAGTTGTTTTGTGTGAAGGTTTCATGCGTTTCAAGATCGCTTGACAGTAATCAAATATAAACTTGTTCATTATTTTGATTCATGTGAATTTGTTTGAAGAAATCATTTTAAATTCATTTTTCCATAAAAACGGATTGAATTATTCTTTTCGTTTGATCCCACGTGCTTCATTATTGTCCTGAGCGATTTGTAACATATTATTAGAACTGTGTGTAACAATGCGGCAACCATTGTTAACTATGTGAAGATTTCCAACTACATACGCATGGCTTGCATTTCTGCGAATTCGGTTGATAGTGAGCTTAGTTGTGCTTAAGAAGAACTCGAAATTGTTTGACGTCAGCATACCGCGATGTAAACGTGTATTTGTGTATCCGTCAACGGGTCACTTATCACCGGGCGTCCACAAATTATATACCGTTTTGATGCTGCCTCCAATTTTTTTCCCGTGAGTTAAATCACTAAAAAATGGGCAAGCTTTTATTCATTCTACTTCTTCCTTCTTATTCCTTATTCTTATACCTTTCTTATTTTTATGTTTATATTTAATTTTAATATATTGATAAAATGTATCTTGAATTTTTTATAATATATTTTATTAATTATAATATATTTTGAATCTTTTTTTTCTAAAAAATTTATAAATTAAACTATATAATTTTAATAATCTTTGATAAATCTTATTTATAATTTTGTAGGTAATAGAATTATTTTTAATACGGAGTGTAGACCTGGTGATTAGTGACAGAGTAGATAAGACTGGCTATATAAATTTTGAAAAACATAAATGGGGTTGTGCCAGTGGAGGCAGTGGGGGACCTCCCTCACTGAGGAGTTTAGGAACTCCAACCCCCA